CCCTTTATTCTTTCCCTTGTTCATTTTTCACCTACTTTTGGAACCTCAAATACCCTTCCCTCAGAAGCCATCCCTGGTGGATCCTCTCCAACAAAGAAGCCACTTTAGCATATGTTATCGGTTACCAACCAAGACATGCATGTTTCTAAAGTGAGGTTAGGTTATTAATGCTTGTATTGTGATAGAAACGAGAATTAGCTATACACAGTAGCTTTTGATCTGATGCTTAATGAAACCTTTGATCAGAAGTATATATCCGAACATTCTTGCATTGTGAACAATTGCAAGATATCGGCTTGTGGGCTTCTGCAAAATATCCAATGAGATTCTTACTAACAAAACTCATGCCAACTCGAGTAATATTTTTCTGAAGCCAGAACCTAAAGAGGCCATTGATTAATGTTTCGAAATCCTTTCCAAATTCCTTCCGTTTCATTCTATTTGACATTTAAAGTTCTAACACAACTTCAGAAATACAATTAATTCATCTAATTTCATAAAATAGATAACATAAGTTTTTAATATACCTTTAAATTTTTTTGAATTCTCACCAATAATTAAAAAACAATAATTATTAAAGATATAATAAAAAAATGTAATGTTACATTATTAATCGAGACTTAAGAGGGGCACGCTCTTACCATATATCACTCTTCATACTTCACTCATGTACATACTTAAATTAGAATGGAATAAGCTGGATGTGATTGAATTAAAGTAAGAAATTAATTCTGACTTTTCAATAACAATCACACTTCAACGTAAATACGTGATTCAAATTAATTTAAGCACGTCTTGACCACATCTAATGTTTCAAAAACAATCCTACTCTAAAATACTCACTTGATCCTCGAAGTAATTTTTCATTCCCAATCGTTGTAAACATAAATCTAACATTTAGATAACTTTTATACTCCTCCTACAGCACCGAAAATAAATATTCCGGGATATTTTAAAAAGTTGTAAAATGTAATACTATTTGCACAGCAAATTCTTCATCCAAAAAAAAAACTATTATGAACAAAGTTCATTGTGTTCACAGCAAAAAACAAGGGAGCAAGATACTAAACAACGACCAAAGGTACCACTAGTAAAGGATAAGAGCTAGACCAAACTGCATGTTCTAATAATAATAGTAATGCAAATTCCAAAAAAGCATGTCAAGGGTAATGCGCCGTTTATGATAGTTTAGCCCTGGAGAAGTCCATCTCAGGATGCTGCAAACACAACCAATAAACATAAACAGATAAATCAGCCAAGCAACACAAAACAACGAATCAAACTGGGCAAGTCAACAAGAAAGACAAGAATCTACCTCAGACATAAATTTCTTCAAAATTTCCTGCTTCTGGAGCTCATCACTGGTAGGAAGGCCCATAGATTTCTGCCTCTGATCAAACTGTACAACAGTACAAGAGAATGTAAGCCAATTAATAAACGTACTCATGTCTAAATAATGCTCGGAGATGTATATATATCTTGATTCCTATGGTTATATTCAAAGGGTTAAATTCTTAATCATTGGAATTTGAGGCTTCACAAAGTTGGGTTGCACAAATTCAATAAGATATCTTCATCAAATTACAAGACAAATAACCAGAAGCAGACATATATAATTTCTGTGTCATACTTTTTAACAGTTTACTCCAATAATTGCGTGAGTACTGAAAATTAAATATCAAAAGGACCTTGGGAAATGATAAATATTATCAATTTTTACCATCATTTTTTCAACAACCTGTCAAAGTCTCAGGACAAATATAATTTGTCTTCATCAAATTACAAGACAAATGACCAGAAGCAAACATATCATATAACTTATATGCCATACTTTACAACAGCTTACTCCAATAAATGTATGGGTGGATACAAAATAGAAAATATCAAAAGGACCTTGGGAAATGATAAATATCATCAATTTTTTACCATCATTTTTTCAACAGTCTGTCGTGTCTCAGGATCCAGGTCAGAAAGTTTGCTGTTTTCAGGTTCAACCTTTTGGGTATCAATTTCAGGATCACCTTTCACAAGACATTTCCACCACTCCATTTGATCATGCTTGGTCAAAAGAATAGAAAGTGCACTCTGATCCTCTGCAAAATGGGGATTTTAATGTAATGCGTAAGATACCAACAGGTCATGATTCCTTCCCAATAAACAAAACAGCTCAAAACCACACCCCCAACATTAGCTCATGTATACACACAATGCACGTGAAATCAAATTCAGTAATATGCTTGTGGATTGTATAACTTGGAAGGATCATCTATTGTAATAAGTAGCAGCGTTATCAAATGCAGATTGTGGAAAATGACAGAAATCAGCTATATCACATAGGAGCAAATACCGGAGGTTGTATAGCAGTTAAAATATATGAAATATATCAATTATAGATGTATAGAAGAGTAAGTTGTATGCAAAAAATGCATAAAAATTGACATAACATTTACTCAAAAGCTCAATTAATTGTAGACTCGGTCGAGTTGAGTAGAACATGTACATGATACATGACACCATAGTGGCCGCTGTCATGAACGCACATTCAATAGCATTATACCACCGCTAAAGCGGCGATTAACAATGGTAAGTAGTAAAGTACCTATGCTCCAATAGCAATCATCAGGCTTGACAGACCGATACAACTCCCCCTGAAAATTAGCATAAAGATGACAAATACTATCTGAGTCATCATATCATCAATCAGGTAAAAACAACAACTTGGATCATAGAATACATGTTTTATTAATCAATGATATACAAGGACAAACTGACCTCAATGATCGGAGGTTGGCCCTTGAGCCCAACTTTTAGGTGGTTCTTCTTAATCTCACAGATGACAAACCTTGATTTGGTTCCCTTTGGCACGGGTACATTCACATTAACCTCTTGAAGAGTCTGAGTCCAAGAGTAACCCTCCAGATCCATGCCATTACCTTTGTTTGGAACTGTCCAGACATTGAAAGAAAAAATGATAAGCAGTCAATGCAGAGCAACAGGCAAGAAATCCAAGCTTGTAACAATTACTTTTGTGCTATTTATCATATTCCTAACAAGTAATATAAACTATTCATCCCAAAATTAATGCCTAATGTCTTAAATCCCATGCAACACCCATTATGCGTTGCCCTAACATGCATAAAACATAAAACCAATAATATAAACATCGACAGTTCAGGGCAAAAAAAAAAAAAAAAGATAGAATCTTTAGGGCAAGGCACATTGAAAAAAAAAGAGGGTGAAATCGATTTAGTTTATTTACCTTTGGAGGCGGTTTCGTCTTTGTCGGTGTTCTCCGCCTTGAGGTTCTTCTCCTCCTTCAACCTCTTCTCAACCCTTTCTCTCTCCTGAGTGGCCTTGAGTTCCTCTCTCTTCTTCTTCTCGGCCTTTTCTCTCTCCTCGGTGGCCCTGAGCTCGTCTCTCTTCTTCTTGCCAGCGGCGCGGACGAGCGACACAATCTGCCTCTCCGCCGCGTCGGACACCAGAAAGTCGGTCTCTTGGGCGACGAATTCGAAGACTCGGTTGAGGAAAGCGAGGGGATTTGATCGGTCGAAAGGGGCGGTGAAGGAAGAGGGAGAGGGAGAGGGTTGGGGTTGGGAGGGAGAGGGTTTTGGGTCCTCTTCGTTGAATTCGGAGATAATCGCCATTGCTGAGTCGCGAACGGAGAGAGAGTGATTGGGAAACTGAGATCTTTCCGCTCTTCACTCTGAAACGAAATGTTGCCACTAGAATGTTCCGGCTCCTCCACTATTTATAAACCTTCAAACACTAAATCATGGGGTTTGGTTTTTAAAAAAAAAAAAATTGAATATGATCATTTGTCGAATTTTTTACGTAAATAAAATTTTTTTAAATTTTTTTTACCAAAATAACATCTGTGTAACTTTATTTATCCAACTAGAATCAATCACTGTTTTTGCTCAGAATTTGGTTCCTCCGAGAATCAAATTCTGAGCTCCAAATTTTTTTTTTTTGTGATCAGAGTTCGATTCCCGGAGAACCGAATTCTGAGTTATTTTTAATTTAATTTTATTTTTTTGCGTTTGTGGCCCAGTCTGTGCAAGTCTCGGAAGTGGAACGGACCGTTCTGGAAGCAGAACAGCCCGTTCTACTTAAACACATAGAGTGTTTTTTTTTTAAATTGGAACGGCCCGTTCTAATTAAAAAAAAAACACTCTGTGTTTAAGCAGAATGGGTCGTTCTGCTTCCGGAACGGCCCATTCCACTTCCAGCATTTGCGCAAAATGGGCCAGAAACCCCGAAAAAAAAATTTAAAACAACTCAGAATTCGGTTCCTGAGAACCGAATTCTAAGTTGTAAAAAAAAAATATATATTGAAGTTCAGAATTCGTTTTCCGGGGAACCAAATTCTGAGCATGAACAGTGATTAATTCTAGTTGAGTAAATAAAGTTACACAGATATTATTTTTATAATTTTTTTAAAATATTATTTATGTAAAAAATTCTCATTTATCCTTTAGATTTAGATTGATTTAATGTTTTGAAATACTGAGATAAGATTAGAATTCGAAATTATAGAGTTAAATTTATTTACATTAGAATTCGAAATTATAGAGTTAAATTTATTTACATGAAAAATTTGATAAAAGAAATAGATATTGACCTTTTTTAGGTTTAAATATATTTTTTTATTTTATCAATTTTATTTTGAAGTCCTTAAAATTAAATTATTTTATTTTAAATGTATATATATATATAAAGGTAAAATCAAATTACACCGAAATGATTCTTACAATTATTATGATATTCAATATATATATATGAGTTAGAATATGATAATGTCAGTATTGAGCTAGTGATATATCACATTCAATATTTCTTTTATATATAAAGTTTAATTGATTTAACTATTATATTCATGATATATTCGTGATATGTCATATTCAATATTATTTATATATAATATAAATTTAATTGATTTAATTATTATATTTGATAATATTATATTCAAGATCATGTATATTAAATTTTTAATAATTTAGATTTTTTTAAATATATTAATTATTAATATGCATTATATTATTTTGAATATCATTTTATAATTAATATAAAGTGATAAGATGAATTATTAAATAATTTTAAAATTTTATGTAATTTTGTATATTTAATTTAATTAATAATATTATTAATTATAATAGTTGAATTAGTTAAATTTTTATTTTATAAAAAATTATTAAAAGTATCATTGTGAACACAAAGGTAAGGCTTTCTCTACTATAGTGAAATCTCGTGTTATTCAATTCAAATCGCAGACCTTAGGCTTTATAGCCTTACAACCAAAAACAAAAGAAAAAAAAAAAAATTGACTCTGCACCCATTAACTCCACGTATGAATTTGTGGGCGGTTTCCTAAACACATGGCACCATATTCCTAAATAATAGTTGACCATACTAATCAAAACAGAAAAATACATTTAACCAAAAAACATAAACTAACGTCTAATTGCTAACATTCTGTTAGTACCAGAAAATGAATTCGGAGACACTCAAAACATAAGGGTGCTCGAAAATCCTAGATGATCGAGAGAAGTTTCTAAAGAAGGTATACGAAACTTGAAGAGAGTCAGGAGATACGCGAAGACAGTTTTCGTGAAACTCTCGAAATTCCCGAACCAGAAAGGGTGCTGCTCAGGAAAAGGGCTCACAGCCTAGCAACCTCTCAAAGTACAAGCAGAATCAGGAAACATTCAAGTATAATTTTCGTTGGTTACTCGAAATCCCAATAATCCGGACATATACGAATACACTTCATAACCTCTCAGAATGGAGAACTTAAAGGAGACACGAATTAGGAGCGGTTAAAGTAACATGAGATAAGTGTCAAAGGCTGCAGAACGGTTTAGGGAAGTTAACGAGAAGTTCCAAGAATTATCCAGAGACGGGCCCGGGAGCAGGCCACTACGTGGAAGTTTAGAACGGTTATGCACTTCCGGGGTGCATCAGGAACAGTTATTTTTTCCCAAATCTTTGTCTATAAATTAAACGAGCCATGCTCGTAGCAAGGGGTCAGAAATCTAATTCCCACAATACCTCACACGCACTCCGCAGCCTGCGCATAAGGCATACTGTGCATACGAGACAGCTTTGGGTACGATTTCTCGACCACTTTTCTTTTCCTTTTTTAGGAGTAGCGTAGCATAGCCTAATCTAGCCTAGTGTAATGTAGTCATTCTGAACATGTTTCGTTATCCTTACGAATTGTAATTCTGTTACCATTTAATGAAGGATATGATTTTTGCAGTCAATATACATATCATCTGTTCAATTCACGTAAATTATTACATGCATGAATTTGATTGTACAATTAGCATAGATCTTCTGATGTGCTGAAACAAGCATAGATCTTCTGAAGTGCTAAAACTGGCATAGATCTTCTGACGTGCTCGAAATAGTGAGCATAGATCTTCTGATGTGCCAAACCAGCATAGATCTTCTGAAGTGCTCGAAACAATGAGCATAGATATTCTGACGTGCTGTAACAACACCCTAATTTAACTCTATTTGTTGCTTGTACGATTTTCTTTTTTCACTGAAAGTCTTCGATTCTGTCATGTCACGAACACGCATAAATTGAAACGTGAACTCGTGCTAGTTCGAATAAAAAGAACCTACAAACGAAATCCTCCACAAACACATTCCCTCCCTTAAACTAGATGTAGTAGCATTTAGTTTATCTCAAAAGCTTCCAACATGCCTAACATCCTCCGCAACTTTGAGAATTGCTCTAACTTGAGTGGCTTGGTCATAATATCAACAACCTGAGTCTGTGAGCTACAGTAACTTAACTCGATAGTTCCTTTTTTCACTAAGTCTCTTAAAAAATGAAATTTAATGTCTATATGTTTGCTCCTCCCATGAAACATTGGATTCTTTGATAATTGTATCATGGAATTGTTGTCACATAGAATCAGAGTGTTCTTCTGTTCTTCAAGGCTCAGCTTCTCCAACACCCTTTGAATCCAAATACATTGACACGCACAAGAGGCAGTAGTTATATACTCAGCTTCTGTGGTGGATAGTGTTACTACTGGTTGTTTCTTTGAGGACCATGAGATTGCTCCAGAGCCAAATAAAAATACAAATCCAGAAGTACTTCTTCTATCATCTATATCCCCAGCAAAATCGTTGTTAGAATATGCTACAATCTTTGCATTTTCCCCTTTCTTGTAGTAGATGCCTAGTTCAGTTGTTCCTTTCAAGTACCTTAATATTCTTTTGGCTGCAAACCAGTGAGATTCAATGGGACTGGACATAAACCTACTGATCAAGCTTACTCCATACATTAAATATGGCTGAGTTGTAGTCAAATACATAAGACTACCAACTACTTGTTTGAACAAAGTTGCATCAACCTTTGTTCCTGCATCATTTTTTGACAATCTTGTGCCTGGAACAATTGGATTCTTGACTTCATTACAGTTTTCCATGCCAAACCGTAATAACACTTCTTGAGCATATTTCCTCTGACATATAAAGATTCCACTTGAATTCTGCATAACTTCAACACCATGAAAGTACCTCATTTTGCCTAAATCTGACATATCAAATTCTGTCATCATGGCTCTTCTAAACTCATCACACATACTTCCATCATTTCCAGTATATATTAAGTCATCTACATAGAGACTTATAATTAAAATTTTACCCCCCTCATTTGATTTTGTAAACAATGTATGTTCACAAAGGCATCTATCAAATCCATTTCGAACAAAATAAGCCTCTATTTTATTGTACCAAGCTCTTGGTGCTTGTTTAAGGCCATAAAGTTCCTTTTTTAATTTGTTCACTTTCTCTTCTTCACCCTTTTTCACAAAACCATTTGGTTGCTGCACATAGATCTCCTCTTTAAGTTCCCCGTGAAGAAAGACACTCTTCACATCTAGTTGAAAAACATTCCAGCTATATTGTGCTACTATAGCAAGTATTAAGCGAATTGTGTCAAGCCTGGCCACCAGGGCAAATACCTCTGTGTAATCCACTCCATATTGTTGGACGTACCCTTTAGCTACTAACCTGGCTTTGAACTTGTCTATTTCTCCAATCTCTTTAAATTTGGTTTTGAAGATCCATTTGACTCCAATTGGCTTTACTCCTCTTGGTAGATCAATCAGCTCCCAAGTCATGTTTTTCTCTATTGATTCCATCTCTTTCATCATTGCGTTTCTCCATCTCCACTTCTCACTCTTAATAGCTTCCTCAAATGAGATTGGGTCATCCTCGGTGACCATCATTACATTTAGGCCATTATCATCTGATAGACCTTCTCCTATTTTGTAATCTTTCATCCAAATTGGTTCTCTCCTATTCCTTCTAACCCTCCCTTCAACTGGAGTCTCATAATTAATAATATGAGAGTCATTATGATAAGTATCAGTATCTGTAGAATTGTTCTCAGCATCTTCATTTTGATCCTCAGTTTCTTGAGCACAGTACTTTCCATCGCGTTTTATTCAGAATGCTCTTTAGAATCACTCACATAGTCTTCATTATCTCCCCACTCTAGAATATCCTGTTGATGTTCTTCTACATTCTGCTTCCAGTTCCAGCCTTTTTGTTCCTCAAAAATCACATTTTTGCTGATTAAAACCCTTTTGTTGACAGGATCAAATAATCGACATGCCTTTGATTCATCACTTACTCCTAAGAGAACACATTTCTTACTTTTATCATCCAGTTTTACTCGATGTTGATATGGTATATCGACATGGGCTA